AGATACCTCTAGAAATAATCAAAAGATTAAAAATATCTACCAAAACAACACAATAAAAGTAAAAGTCGAAAAACAACTAACCGACCCTGTTAAAGCTGGCATGGGATAAGACAGGAATATTCCCTGAGCCCTCTATTGTTCAAATTGATTACAGATGAAATAATAAAAAAAGTAAGAAATAAAAAAGGATGCCAAATGGGAGAAAACCAACTTAAAATAATCTGCTATGCAGACGACGCAATACTACTCTCTTAAAGTGAAAACAACTTACAACGTATATTGCATCAATTTAATATAACCGCCAGAAAATTTAGCATGTTGATTTCGCCAAATAAGACAAAAAGCATGGTTACAGCAACAAATTTACTAAGATGTAAATTGGAGCTGGAAGGTCAGATAATAGAATAAGTGATGGAGTTTAAATATCCAGGCATTACATTATCTAGCTATGGAAAGCTCGAAACTGAAGTGGAAGATCAAGTAAATAGAGCAAACAGTGCCTCAGGCTGCCAGAATGAAACAATATTGAGAAATAAAAATATTGGGATAGAAATGAAAGGCAAAATTTACAAAACAGTCATCAGATCAATAATGACATACGCGACAGAAAGACGACCTGACAGAAAGGACAAAAAGAATGTTAGAAACAGCAGACATGAAGACACTATATCGTAAGATATACGACGTAGAAGCAAGGTGGGTACATTATTACATTACAAAAGCTGAATGACAACAAATAGAGTAGTAAAGACGACAAGAGGCGGTTTCCCAATTGGAAGACAAACAGAAGGAAGATCACAAAAACGATGGAACAAAAACTTACTGGAGGCACATTGAAAAACAGACAAAACAATGTCTACATAAAGAGAAGAAGAAGAGAAGAAGAACAGTTAGAGTAACATAATGTTATAAATTTTAAGTACTACTATATAGAGTAAAAGCGTGAATAGTAGATTCCGAAATGAGGAAGTTCTTGGCCTAACTAAAGAATGAATAAATGAGGGAAGCCTAACTAAACAAGACAACTGGTCAATATAATAAAAAACGAAAGTTGGAATACTTTATTCACATTATGACGTACCCTAAAATGTAGAAACTTTCTCATCGCATAGAGAAAAATCAAAGAAACTTGGTGCTGGAAGAATGGGAACATCATAGCTCAAAAGGTTAAAACAATGAAATGAAAAATCGACTACATAAGTATTATTGAAGCAGTGATAGGAAAAAGCTATCTAAAAGATTGTCTAATCTAATTATTAAAGTGAAGCAAACGACAGATAAATAGAAAATCAGTATCTTAGCATCTATATAATAAAAACAGATATGTTCAATACTAGAACAAACTATAAGGCCAGTTTGAATTTATACAATTTATCATGAGTAGTTAACTTAAGTCAGCTAATAAAAAATTATTAAAGCATTAAAGAAACAAATGCTCTTTTGGTATTCATTAACGGTACTTCGAGAGGTTGTGTGGTGGCACTCAATAAGAAAGCAGTTCCGGTGTGCATATGAAAATTGTTAGAACATGTGTTGTAAAGACTAATAAATTTTATGCAAAAGCATAAAGACTATGTGCTTAATCTTTTTATAACATAATTCTTTTTTGGGTGCCTTGCTTGTGTTCAAGCGTTGGCTATCGTCGTATTAACAAGCTAAAGTTGTCGCAGCCAGGAAAGCTGCTTTTTTCCTACTCAGCATCTTCCTTCGATTTTGTCCAAAATGATCAACCGGGTAAACAATATTTAGATCCTCTCATTATACGGCCGTAAGTATTGGACCTGTCTAATTTTAATGATGTTTATAAATTCTTGATCTTTGTGCATGGTCTAAGCACGGCATTCTAAGCATGCGACAGTAACACCACAACTCAAACTTTCTCTTCTTAAGGTGCCTGTCCATTCCGAATGTTGGCGATCATTCTGATGACTTTGATGGCTGCTATACGAAATGTTGGCAGCTGTGTTGAGGTATTTCTATACCATGCTCTCAGGTTAGCAAGCCAAGATATTCTTTTTCGTCCTGGGGCCATTTTTCCTTCAATTTTACCTTGTAAAATTCATTGAAGTAGCTCGTATCTTCCTCGATTTCTCATCACATGTCGAAAGTACTGCAGCTTACGGCCTTTTATGATGTTGACCAAATCCACAGTTGTGTTCATTCTCCGCAGTACTTCTTTATTGGTGACTTTGTCTGTCCATGGTATCTTCAAGATCCTTCTGTATGACCATAGCTCAAAAGCCTGAAGTTTTGATATAGTTTTCACCTTTAATGTCCACGTTTCTACTCCGTGCAAAAGCACTAAGTACACATAACATTTAAGGAGCCTTATTTTTGTTTCTATAGTGAGGTCATTCTTGAATACAGAACTCATAGTCAAGAATGCAATCTTTGCCTTTTCGATGACACATTTAATCTCTTGGATATTGTCCCACAACTCAAACGCTTTTAATTTATTAAGATTTTTTGTTTTTATTATCCAGGTTTCACATCCATAAAACAAAGCAAACCAGATGTAGCACTTTAATACTCTTTGACATGTGGTCAATGACAGACTTCTACTACACAATACATAACGCCAGTTAATAAAGCTTTTCGTGCAATTTCTATTCTGGTCCAGATTTTCTCATCACTTTTAACCCTGTAGTCAATCCAACTACCCAGAAATAAAGCGTTCCACCCTTCCAGGATTTTATTATCTAATTTTAGTATTTAGTCTTTGATGATAATTTCTCCGACCACCACCTATTTTGTTTTCTTTGCATTGATAGTTAAGCCCTTTTTAGTGCATTCGTTTTTAACAGCGTTTAAAAGCGTTTGAAGGTCTTCTAGAATCTCTGCCATTATGGCTGTCATCTGCGTATCTGATGTTATTAATAATTTTATCACCGATTTTAATACCTTATTAACGATTATTTAATGCTATCTTAAAAACTGGTTCAGTGTAGGCAATAAACTACATCGGTGACATAACACATACGTGTCTGTCAACCCGTTTAATAGAAACTTTATCTGAAGCCTCTTGATCCACCCTAATAGAAGCGGTCTAATTGTAGTAAAGATTTTTGAGCAATCTAATTAATACGTGTCCAGACCAATTGAGTTCTACCATTGGAATAGTAGGGTATGTGGTACTCTATAATTGTGGTTTAATTTTAAAGATAAGATACTTATTGTTTTATTCTAGCAGACAGTATATGAAGATGTCATAATTGTTATTATTTGGAGTTATTGGCACTTTTGCAAAGTAATAGAAATGGTTCGTTTAAAATTAAACGGTAAAGACTGCGTAAAAATTTACAAAAAGGAATAATTAATAAGCAGCGTTCATATGATTGTAGTAAAGTAAATCGATATTTAAAAAAATTACGTTGTTTTCAGGAGCGACAAGAGTTTAATGTCTTTTGTGCGACAGGGACAACCATGTTGTATCTCTCCAATTTTATGATGTTACTTAATATAACTACGTTTTTTTAGGTGAAAGATGTATCAATATATTTAAAGTAAATTTACGCGATCTATTGTCTAATTTTAAACGAGCGATTTCTATCACTTTGTAAAGTGCCAATAATCACAAATAATGACAATTATGGCACGACCTACTAAAATAAAACAATAAATATCTTACCTAACATTAAACCATAAATATCTCCCAAAGCAATAACTTTAGATATATTAAACCTTATACTATTTAAAAGACCATCGTTTTTATTTTTCATTAAAATTTTAAAATACAGGTGCGTTTAAATAAAATTGTTGACTTACTGTGGTTTGAACTTTAAGGAAATGGCGTATCATTTGTAAACATCTTGTCTCTAAAAATTCGATTTCGATTTAAATTACTGCAACAGTTATTTAGTCATTGTGTGCAAGAGTTTTTAAGACACTGAAATACGAATGAAAGAGGAACAACTCAAAAATATGAATATTGATCTCGTACAAATTTTGAAATTTTTCAATTTTTTTCGTACAAAAAATTTTCACTATTCTGTTAATGTGAATTAACAACTTCTTGCAGTTTGATTAGCTTTTTTACTATATAAATTGATTGTGATACTATATGAACTGATTGTGATAAATGAATAATGCTATATAAAGTGTCTGTTACCAACTGTTTCCTTCACTTCGTCCTTATTAAATTAAATTTTGAAAATTGTCATTCACAGCTCGCATTTAAATGTCAAAGTCACTCAAATTAGGTAGAAGATTACCGTCAAAATGTTTTATTTGACCCATTTTAAAATAGAATTTTTAGAGATTTTCGAATTCTGTTGAAATATCTTGGTATTGTTGAAATGTTTTCCATTCGTCATTGATCATTTGCATCATTTGTAGACCTTAAGGATTACACATTAAGGTTAATTTTGATATTATTGGTAAAAAACTTTGGTAACTCTTAAAGCTACCTTTATTTAGAAAGTGTATACTGCCCATGACTGGATCTACAAAATTATTTTTTTTACTCCCATATAAGTTATAATCAAGAAACGCCTGCATTTTTGGTAAAAATCCTGTTGCAATTTATCATCTAAATCAATAATATTATGCATTACCCCAATTCCTAGATACATGTTGGTAATGTTGAAAAATTTTGTAATATCTTGAGGATCAATTGTTCCATCATTAGTTTGTCTCACATATTGTGGGTCCATGTAAGTAAACAATATATGGTTATACAGTGTGATCATTTCAATGTGCAAATTTGTGATTACTACTTTATCTCTTTGAAACAATTAATTTAATTCCACAAATTTTTATAAAACTCATTCTAAAAATAGGTAAAAACTTTTAGTATGGCAAAAAAATAGGCCCCATTTTTATGTTACACGAGATACCCGAGATACCACTGCTACATCAAATATGACCAATTTAATGGTAAAAGAAAGGACATCAAAACCAATCTTATAAAAACACTTAATTGAATAAAGTATTTATTCATTATTAAGGCTTTTTATATGTATTTATTTTATATTTATATTTAATATCTTTATATTTTTTAGCAAATTCTAGCAAAAACTGGAGTGATATAGATTTTAACGAAAAATTTTTATGGGTCGATGCGCAACATATGCAAACAAGTTTCAAAGAAGCCATCATTAAGGGACTGCCTTTTCCAATATTGACTGTAGCAGAGTACTTTACTACAGGACAAGAAGGATTGGCATGGGGTAGGCAGTACAGATCTGCAGGATATTTTGCCATAATAATGCTTTGGTAAGTTAAAAAATGCTAAAATGTTTGTTCATCTCTGATCATTATTATAAGTGAAATATATTTAGCTTAAATATCTTTAAAATATTATTTAATATTTTCTAATTTTTATATTTGGCCTTATCCTTCTTATTTCTGCAGGAATAAAAAATCGTTTAAGATCATTTTTTTTTATTTCATGTAAATACTTTATACAAGATTGGCAACTCAAAAGAGTCTACACCGATATTTGGCAATATTAACCAAGATTTGGTGAAAATGCTAAAACAGGTCAATTTTTATTTCAAAGGATATATAGATATCTGTCAGATATTCTGCATACAGATAATTTTGCATCATTAATAGGAATCTTTACTAAATGTAAAATAAATAAAATTAACTCAATTTTAAATTAATAAATTAATAATTTAACACAGTTTACTCATCAGCTATAAAATTATTTAACTAAATGTTCAAAATAAAATCCAAAAACGGCCATACAATTATAAAGTTACTGTTCAAAATTACGACGAACATTTTGAAGCATTTCAGGGGTTACTAGAATGAATTCATGCACTATTTATCGTTTTCGCTTTAAATAAAGCTAAAATAGTAGTATAAATATTGTTGTTTAAATAACCTCATACGAAGAAGACAATGATGGTTAAATCAGGATAACTTGCTGGCCATTCAATAAAACTATTTTGTACTATTTACTCTAGATTTCAAAATTTTTATGTAAACAGAATAGCCCAAAAACACAATCCCCATTAATTTTTGCTCATACAATTAATTTTAATGTCTGTTTGGTATGAGTTTCGTGGAAAACGTGAGACAAAAATTCTGTCATTAACATCAGTTGACAAATGACAAATTTTTTCGTTGTTATCGTTAAAAGATGGTTTTTGGAATAAAAATTGACCTATTTTAGCATTTTCGCAAAATCCAGTAAATATAACCAAATTTCAGGTTGGACTCTTTTGAGTAGCCAACATGGATAGTATCTGACTATTAACAATATTAATAAAAAAAAAGTAGACTAACTGGCACTTAAACTTTGGCCCTTCTGCGATAAAAACTATAAACGATATCTCGATATTATTTATATACTATAGTTTGCAATGATGGCGAATACAAACCAGAACGCAACTGATCCCCAGGTAGGCGGTTCACATTGTGGCAAATCCTACACCTTATCTAGTAAGGTCAGTCTCATCGGATCTGGGCGAGACAATAGTTCGTCAATACAGAAAACAAAAATGTATATCTCAACTTTCAATGTAAGATCTTTGTCTAAAGACGAGAAACTCTATGAAATAGAGGAAGAAGTTAAACACCTGCAATGGGACATAATCGGACTATCGGAGGTAAAACGAAAAAGTGAAAACTACATCTAGCTAGAGTCTGGAAACATATTGTATTTTAAAGGTAGAGAAAACGAAAGTTTAGATCGAGTTGGTTCTTTGATTTCGAAAAAATATTATATATATTATTATTATATATTATATATATTATTAGCTTGGAATAACAGAAAGATTCGCTTTATTAATCGTAAATATCAGCGAAAAGGGCACTTTAAAAATAATTGAGATTTATGCGCCAACATCTACACACACAGACGAAGAAATGGAAGAATTCTATGAATACCTCAAAGAGTCCAAGACGTATCGAAACACTACCTACACGATTATAATGGGCGATTTTATTGCGAAAATGGGCAAAAAACTAGAAGAAAATGAAAACTGTATTGGAGAATTTGGACATGGAGTAAGAAATGAAAGAAGAGATTTATTGGTTAACTATCTAGAAAATAACAAATTATTTGTCATGAACTGTTTCTTCAAGAAAAAGTCACATAGAAAATGGACGTGGATATCGCAAGATGGGAACACTAAAAATGAAATTGACTACATACTAACAAACAAAAAGAACATTTTCGAAGACGTCACAGTAATAAACTCAATATTTACTAGTAGTGATCACAGAATGATCTATCTATCTATCTATCTAATCAGCCTTAAACGAGGCCACCCTTGGGCAGAGGCCTCCCCTGTTAATCTCCATTGGTCTCTATTTTGGGCGATCTGCATCTAATCCTTACCTGCCGTTTTCTTAAGATCGTCAGTCCATCTCATCTGTGATCTTCCTCTTTTTCTTTTCTTTTCCCATGGTCTTCAGTGTAGAACTCGCTTATTCCATCTTTCACAGAATGATACGGGCTAAAATAAGTATTAAACACAAAAAAGATCGAAGACAATATGTGCACTCTAAGAAAAAAGTCCTCCCAGAAAAATTAAAGGAGGATAAAGAACAATAACAAAACAAATAAAGAACAGCTGAAGAACTAAAACTAACAGACTTAAATCTAGATCAACTAAACAAAACAATCACTGAAGAACTTCTAAAGACTAACTTAGAAGTAGATCCAGCAAAATCAGACAAAAAATCAAAATTAAGTGTCATATCTTTAGACATGCTACAACAACGGAGAGGCCTACTACAAGAAATTAAAAGCCATACAACTGAATACAAAACCCTTAATACAGAAGTAAGGAGACATATAAACAAGATCTCAAACGGCATCAAGAAGAACGAATCGAAAACAGAAACTTAAGATCTATCAAGTCCCACTTAGGAAGAAATAAAATCATAGAGATGGAAAATAAACAAGGTGTAATAGAAAAAAGCAGAACCCAAATATCTAAGATAACAAGGGAATATTATAGTAACCTCTACAGCTCTGAAAACAGTCCACCTGATACAACTCAACAAAACCTGAAAAAGAAAATAATTAATGTAAACTCTGAAATATTACCCCCCATAACCGGGGAAGAAATGGAAAAAGCAATTAGAGATATGAAAAGAAATAAGGCGCAGGGAGACGATTCTAATTGAAATGTTAAAAGAAGGAGGGGAAAAGATAAAAGACTACCTAAAGATACTTTTCAATAAATGTTTGTTTGAAGGAAAAATACCGCAAGACTGTAACAAGGCAAATACAATTCTGATATATAAGAAAGGAAAGAGATCAAAATTAGCTAACTATAGACCGATATCTCTCTTGTCACAAATCTATAAAACTTTTACTAAGGTGATCACAACTAGACTAAACAACAAATTTGATGCATACTAACCAGTTGAGCAGCGTACCTAGCGTTTGTTGACTATGAAAAAGCGTTTGACAGCATAGAACTATGGGCAGTGGAAGAAGCGCTAGTTAATTGCCAGATATATGCAAACTCCATTAATTAGAATTTGTAGAAGTGTCAGACAAAAAGATATAATCTTATCCAAACTATTTACTCTGGCGTTGGAAGATATTTTTAAATCTATAGACTGGGACAATAAAGGGATTTGTATAAACGGGAAATATTTAAATCATCTAAGATTCGCCGATGATGCACTCCTGATAGCAACAACTATGGAACATATGGAATCTAAAGAAAACTAAAATAATGACTAATACAGAAGACAGATCAGTAATTACCATAGGTGGAACAAACATAGAACACGTCCAAGAATATATTTACTTAGGACAAGCTATCAGAGTAGACAAAAGTAACTAGACTAAAGAAATAACCAGAAGAATAAGAATGAGGTGGGCTGCATTCGGAAAACTCTCATATACTATCAAAAACCAAAAAATACCTTTAAAATTAAGAACGAATATATTTAATGCATGCGTCCTACCTGTTCTGACATATGGTGTCCAGACGTGGACGTGTACCAAGAGCAACTTAGATAGAATAAAGAGTTATGGAAAGACAAATGTTTGGAATATCGTTGAGAGATAAAAAAAGAACGAGTGGATAGATGCAAAACCGAAACAACAGACGCTGTCGAATATGCATTGAAATTAAAATGGAAATGGGCTGGGCATAACGAGAGATATCAGGATGAAAGATAGAATTAAGAAATTGGCCGCTAAAGACCATATACTGTAAAAAGGTCAAGAGGCCGACCGCAAATGAGATGGAAAGATGACATTGAGCAAAGCGCAGATCCAATGTAGAAAAGACAAACAGAAGATAGAGACAAAAGGAGACAAATGGGAGAGGCCTATATTTAATACATGAATAGAATTTGGGCAATAGATAGATAGAATAGTTTGCAATGAAAAATTTTATTTCATTTGTATTTTATTTTTATTTTTTAATTATCTCAAAAGCTACTCCTTAATCAAATAAAAGGTTGTGTTTAGAATAAAACACTCACTGAGGGCTTTGATTTCACACTTATCGAGATATTGAGTGACAATTATTATGTTTAGAATTATGTTTATTTTACTTACGTGTATAATTTTATGGGAAATGATAGGTAGGTAGTCATATAGAATATATTACAATTTACTACAAAAAACATACAATGGAATAAATTAATAAACAGTATATTTGAATGTTGGTAAGTGTAAATGCAGATAGCTTTAAACATATTTTTACTGCACCTTCTATAAAAGTTTTTGCTTGACTTCCTAAAAATAGTAATATCCAGTCAAAAAATTGTTAAATCTAGAAGTATGCTACTCCAAAATTTAAATCAATTAATAATATCATGAATGTGATTCTTTCAATTTCATTCTTTTTACCTTTTTTAATTAATAATAATTCATACATTTAGTAACAGAAAATAACCCACGTAAGATGCCTCAACTCAGCAGATGTATGTAGCGACCATAGCCTAGTATTAGGTATGTAAAATAAAATTCCTCCTGAAATACTTTCCACCCAAGAAAGCGGCGCCAACACAAACAAAAATCAAAGTCGAAGCACTAAATAAGGAATCCAGGGAATACTTATATAAGAAAAGAATATCAGAGAAGATCGATGGGAATGAAATATTAGGAAACGATAACATCGGGAAAAGCTGAGAAAACTCAAACATAACAAAATTAACGCAGCAGCAGAATCATTTGAAGAGAAGAAAGTAACAAACACTAACATATCAAAATAGAAAACAGCATGGTTTAGAGAGAAACTTAATAAAAAATGTAAAGAAAGAAAAAAGCTTTTTTACAATACAGAACACAACACACATACAAATAGTGTAAACGAATTAGAAATAAAACGAATATTTTATTTAGTAAATAAAAAGGGAAAACTTTCAGAGCTTCTCAAAACAGATAGAACACGACTTCTACGAAATACAAAAAAATATGGAAATTGATCAGAGGACAAAGAAAAGAGATGAGCAAACTAATAAAAAAGAAACATGTTAGAAGTAAACATGGGTAGACTACTTTTTATCCCTATTTGCTAAAGGTGGCGGAAATGAACCACCAACACCAGAGGTGAAGACAAACGAAGAAATAAATATTGAGAAGGAAGAGGTAAAGGAAGCATTAAGGAAATTGAAAAATAGAAAATCACCAGGAGCTGACAGAATACCGAACGAACTCCTAAAGTACAAAGGATTAGATCTGACCAAACAAATATTATAACTAATCCAAACAATAATAGAACAAAACAGAATCCCTTAAGCATGGAGATTAAGCATCCTAATACCTTTCTTCAAAAAGGGGGACAAATCGGACTCGGAAAATTATAGAGAAATTAATTTATTAAACACAACACTAAAATTAACAACCAAAGTGGTTATGAACACCGATGTTATATTTATAATGAGGCAAGAGAAATCAATAGAATACAACAAACTGGCATACCTATTTTTTGTGGACCTTAAGAAGGCATTTGACCAAGTCAAATTAAAAGACGTTATCTACTTACCGTACGCAAGAGAGATACCTCCAGGAATAATCAAAACAATCTAAAATATCTAACAAAACAACACAATAAAAGTAGAAGAAGAACTAACCGACCCTAATAAGCTGGCAATGGGATAAGACAGTAAGATTCCCTGAGTTCTCTATTGTTCAACATGATTATGGACGAAATAATAAAAAAATGGATAACTAAAAAAGTATACCAAATGGGAGAAAAACACAAAAAATAATCTGCTATGTAGACGACGCAATACTACTCTATCAAAGTGAAGATGATACAACGTATGCCGCATCAATTTAATATAGCCGCCAGAAAATTTAACATGATATTTATTCAAAAAAAGACAAAATGCATGGTTACCACAGCAAATTTACTAAGATATAAATTGGAGCTGGAAGGTCAGATAAGAGAACAAGTGATGAAGTTTAAATATCTAGGCATCACATCATCTAGCTACGAAATTCTCGAAACTAAAATAAAAGAGCAAGTAAATAGAGTAAACAGAGCCGCAGGCTGCCTGAATGAAACGATATGGAGAAATAAAAATATCGGAAAGGAAATGAAAAAATTTACAAAACAGTCATCGGCCAATTGAATTCAGCGTTTTTTATTCATATTTAAAATGCATCATATTTGTTACCACAACTCAACATTGAAATTGGTGTCATAGATTTTAAAGACTGACATATAAAAATGGAAATTTTACTACAAATGACTAATAAAAGTAATCAATTTTATTAATCTCACGAAAATAATAAAAAATGGCAAAAATCGCGCAACATGTATTTATTTCAAACCTGTATAAAATCTGAGTTTATTTGTAGCAAAATACAAAACTGCATACTGCATGCTGAATTCTTTAGCTTTAAAACGAATTTTGATTTTTGTCGATAGGTCCCTTTAGTCAAAAGTTATCCCATTTTTACCGTCGAGCTGATACAAATTTTACTGAACATTGATTTCGCCTGTTACTGACATGCGAAATCGACGGTCGCTTTTTTATTCGATCGCAAACATTTTTGTATGAAATTATCTTTGCTACATTTTTTATTTAAAACATTTTTTTTCTACGGTGTACAGATTCTTGATAAATCGATATTTTGCGTTTTTATCCCCCTACGAGGGAGGTTTTAGGGGAAGCCCGTAGGTTAAAATGGTAAACTTTTTTGCATCTTTGTTGGGGTCCCAACATTAATACTCTTTGCAATATTTAGCTTGTTCGTATGATTTTTAGGGGTCAACTGACGACTGGACTAAATAGTAATAACAGTAATAATAAAAATAGTCCAATAATAAAAATATTCTAAAGTAATATACTAATATTATATACTAATATTATACATTTTAAATATGTATATGTATGTCTGAATTGTTAATATAAATGAGGCAGAGTATTGAATGAAATTGATGTTATTCTCATTATTTCCTTGTGTTAGCTGTGCATATGGTTGACAAGTAACTTTTTTTTCAAAAATTTAAATTGCAAAATCATTTTGCAAAGACTACTTACTTAAGTATGCTAAATCTAGCATAGAATATGCTATGTATAGTGTTTTTTATATCTTGAAGAGTTTCTGGGTAAAATTTGAAAGTTGTGTATGGCTCCTACATACTTAAAAAAATTATTCAAAAAACATTGATTTTTCACTATTTTTAAATTGTTTTTGCTAATTTTGCAATAACACTTATTATTTTTTAAATTTTCAATGAATTTTGTCTCATATGAAATTTAATTTTATAAAACTTTTTTGTCGTTACAATTTTTTTTAAATGTTAGCTGCCGAGATATAGCAACAAAAATGATGAAAAACAATTTTTCTCATTTTTTTTTATCACAAATGGTTAAATAAAAATATTAGCTCACTTTTTGAATTGTACATAGTTAAATTATCATTCCTCATAATATGTCAAAGCGACTAAAGCAAAAAACTAGGATTATGAACGATTTACCCAACCCAAAACAGATACCGCCTGGTCTAAAAGCCAAAAATATTTAACAATTATTGAAAGCTGTCCGAAAAAGTTTTTTATTAAAAGTATGTATGTAAAAAACACCTTCACATATCCAAAAAAAATTAATACCTAATTTAATAGTCTTCCACTATAAAATAATTTATTAGTTAATTAAATATTTTATGTTTATATAGTCAGGTACGCTTTATCTTTTTTTGGTATTAAATATCTAATTACCATATTTAAAACGACTTATATCCATTTAATTCTTATCAAGGTTACTTTTTTCTAGGACTTCGTTTGTGACATGGGTGTTGATGAACCTTATGTTAATAGTAGTACCGCGGTACGGAGCACTTCTAATGACCTTGTGCGGGTTCCTTCTTCTGTCGACGGTGTGTGGGTACTTCGGAATGTTACCAGAGCCTCCTCTCGTTGTATACATTGACGGGACCAAATTGAATTTTTCCTTTGGATGGTGTTATTGGTTGGTGCTAATTGCAGGTTATACATTATTACTCTAAATAGATATAGTATGTTATAATTATTGTACTATAGAAAGAAACTACAACGTTAAAAAGGGTTTATTATTTAATCGCGATTTTTCTTTTTTGTCGCTTGACTTTTTTCCACATGGTTATAAATATAGGCATTGCTGCACAAAAAACAAACTTTTGTCATTCCTCTTCAAAATGACGTTCTCTTAGAAATTTTTAGGGTTTATAGTGCCCGAGATTTTTGAAAATGCGCCGGTCTCAGCATTTTTGGGCCATTTTCACTATTTTTCGCAAACTTTTTCTATAAATTTTTTCTACGCAGTTTTAGGTAGATATAATAGTACATTTAATAGAAGGGGAAATCAATTACCTTTTAAATAGCTTTTTGTAGAAGGTCCTATGACTAATCTTAAGCAAGATATGATTCTTAAAACTTTTTTAGTTTAATGATTTTTTCTTAATTTTTCGGCTATTTTTTAAAATTTCCATGTACATTTGGGTATATGCAGTATTTAATAAAAAATAAAGCTACTTTTTTTACTTAAGATATTCTAGGACTAACGTAACCAAGATATGGTTCGTCAAAGTTCGTGATGTATACAGCGATTTGTATATAACTAATAATGGACATGGAAAGAAGTTATATCTAGAATTTTAAAAATTATCCGCAAAAGTTAGTAAAAATAGTTGCAAGCATCACATTTTGATGACCCATATCTTAACGATCGGTGGTCTAGAATATTTTGCAACAGAATATTTTACAGTACAGAAAATAAACTTTCGTTTGTATTGGTGATGCATATACCTAAATGTACTAAAAAAAAGTTTTAATGGAAAATTTAAAAAATAGCCGTACAAGTTAGCAAAATCGTTAGAAGTAGAAAAGTTACCCATATCTTCCTTAAAAATAGTCCTAGAACCTTCTATAAAATGTCATTATAAAGGTAAATGAATTTTCTTTATATTAAATGTACTATTGCGTATACTTAAAATTAGTTAAAAAAAGATATAAAACAATATTTGCGAAAAAAAAAAGGAAAAATGCTGTGGGCGACAAACTTTGAAAACTCGTATCTCAGACATTATGACTCCTAACGACTTTTACAAAACGGCATCTTAACGAGAAAAAACAGAGGATTGTTTCTTTAAATTAATGTCAATACTTCTATCCTTGGAAAAAAGTTATGGGGCAAAAAACAAAAATCACAGTTAAAAAATCAGTCATTCTTATTTTGTTTTTACTTTGTTTTTCGAACATATTTCTGTAGATGTGTATCTTTGAAAAGTGCATAGAATTCATTCAAATTCACATAGTGCATAAAAACTAATTCACCTCGTTCTAAGAAACGTACCGTTTTGAATGATAGCACTTCGCGGTTTTTTTATATTAGGGGGTCCTTTGACCATATTATGAAATAGAAAAACGCCTTTATCATTGTAGTTCCTTCTATCTCTCTTATTTTGGACATAATCAGTAGCCTATAATAATCATTATAACCCTTGATTTAATATCAGATATTCGTTCAACAGTACCATTACTAGTAATTGGTACTAACGGGTAATAGGTAATAACTAGCATACGTATGGGTAATGGCCGCTCTATCTTTAACCCACATGGCCTAGTATCTCGAAGAAAATATCTTTAAAAAGCATATAGTAAAAACTTTTTTCTAAATAAGATTTTATGAATCATAACACATAATTAAATTTCTGTCTAAATATTTTGTAACTTTGTAATAAGTCAGTAAAATCATTCGATGTTTTTCTTGTTTTACCATACTACGTTATAATAAGTACATCATGTTTATTTTAATACTCTAGCCCTAGTCTGATTAAATTTGGGTACCCCGAAAGTGCAGGTGCAGAATGATGCTTTCGGATGCATCGGTAAATGAAAGTGAGTGAATTAGAGGTCACAGTAAAGAGCGCAATAGTCATATTTGGAACAAAGTTTTCTTTTTCTTCTTCTTCTTCTTTTTATGTAGACATGACTCTGTTTTTCAATGTGCCTCTAGTAAGTTGTCGTTCCATGATCTTCGTGATCTTTTTACTGATCGTCTTCCTATTAGGGAATCGTAGTTTGCCGTCTTTACTACTCTATTTGTTGTCATTCAGCTTATATGATCGTTCCATTCTATTCTTCTCTTTCTTACCCTGTTCTTGATGTTCTCCACTCTACGTCGTACATCTGTACTTCTAACAGTCCTATAGTGTCTTACCATCAATGTTTCTAAGTGTTTTCATTTCTGCTGTTTCTAACATCCGTTTTGTTCTCTCTGTGTCAGGCCGTGTTTTTTCTGCATATTTCATTATTGCTCTGATGACTGTTTTGTAAATTCTGCATTTCATTTATTTCCCGAACGAAGTTTTGAATATGAAAACTATCCTGCCGATGGATGCCGTATTTGCTGACCATTAATTGAAAACATGATTGCCTGACTACTTCTCAGCAGTGTTTGGACCTGATAAAGTATCTTTTGGCGTCAATTAGTAACTGTTGGCAAAAAGTTGATCCACTATTACATACCACAGAACAAATACATGTTGGTGGACTGGAGCTAGGAAACTCCTCCTAAGTGGCCAAGAGTGCCTGAATAAGTCGAAAAGGTTATGGTTGTTATCACTTTTAATTTAATACTTATATTGAGAAAAACTATCAATACCCAATATTATTGCGGATTATTGGAGCAATTAAAGTAGGAACTCGTTATAGACGGTCCCGTATGCAGAAGAATAAATGGTGTTTAAATGGTAAAAATGCCATTTGTTGTTTACCCAATGCATCGGCTCACAAGAGCCTTATGACAATGGCAAAAATTCATGAGTTGGACTTCGAATTGCTTTATCATCCGGCTTTTTCTCCTGATTTGGCACTCTCCTATTAATGTCTGTTTTTAAATCTGGAAATGAGACTCATAAATAAACAACTAAGCTCGAACTAAGAGATAATTAATGAAACAAATACCTATTTTTTCTGAAATTTGGACTTCTAAAATCGTATTATTCGGATGGCATAAAAAAGTTGGCTAAAAAAGGAAACTATGACTCTAACCAAGACTACGGCTTTGAAATTGAGAGAGGAACAAAGACGAATGAAATCGGCGTATCACGAAAAATTGGCAACAAAGAGCACAAAATCGCAAATTATGGAGGAGTTAAGAGGAGGCCTATATCCAGCAGTGTACGTGATAAATAAAGGCTGGGTGATGATGATGTTGATAATAAAAAAGTTAGAAATGAGCTGCAATTGCTGGATTGAGACTATATCGGGTAAAATAGAAAAATTTTTGGAAAAACACGTTTTTCCAAATCCTATCAATTACTTTCGATGTATCAGTCACAGTTATAACTCCTATATCTTTTAAGACCGCTGATGCTATAATTGCAGCAGAACGATCGGAGACCCCGGTTCTGTTGCACGCCAAAGCTAAACTTGGCAAGCAAATCCGCATTTGTGACGTAGATGGTTGGACTGGAACTGTTGACAAAAGGGCAATGAATTCTTCTTCATGATCATCTGCATCAGAAGAATTTGAGTCAGATAAGTTGCTACTTATGGAACGATTTGAGGAATTAACGGTACATTCTTTAAGAACAATTTTTTCAGTATTATATTTTTGAAAACTTGCCTTGCCTTCGTGGTTCTTTCCATTTTCTTCCTTATTGCAGCAGATGCTGCAATATCCACTGGTCCAATTGCCATTTTTCTACAGGATCGTTGATCTTGAAGAAAAATTCGCTCATTTTGTGGTACTTTCTTGGTTTTATCACAACTACACTCACACAGTGTTCCACTTATGTTGCACTTGCAAGCCGCGATATCAAATAACTTTTCACACTCATTTCGAAACTGGCAAATCTTTTCTTTGTATGAATTAGATGCTTGCTGAGTTTTTGTGTATCGCTTCAGCTTTTGATACTCTGTATAAATATTTTTGATCATACCTTGAATGCGCTTATGCGATAATGTTGGAATAGAAGCTTTTATCCATATTTGTTCTACTTTCGTTGCAACGGCATTCGAAGCGTCGGCGATAGATGGATGTTTATTATTATTTGTCAACTTAAGTTTATCACGAATAAAGAGAAAGCACTTTAGAATGTCACACTTAGTGGGTAAACCACGATCATTGAAAACACCAATAATTGTTCCTAGTATTTCACAGTTCAAACTACTTCGCGTTGACATTTCGAAGAATATGTTTATATACGACACGTCTGTGTGAGATAAGAAACTCAACATTACTGTTATCTGTTGTTGTGTCACTATGCCTGCGTGAATAGTTGCAAGATTGATGTAACATCTGCGTCTGCGTTTTTTCCTTCTCTACCTACTTGATCTACAACTGGCGTTGTTTGGAACACGTACTTCATACCATCAAGCTTCAATGGCATTATGGAACCTGACAGGAGCGTCATTTGAAATTTTGATATGGGGGTGGGGCAAGCATTATATATACCATACATTATATATGCAAACATAATACAAAATTGATCTATTTTTTGTAAATTTCAGTCATTTTCAGGGCCAGGGGGAGGGGGCAAATGCCCCCTTGACTCTATCAAATGACGCCTCTGGAACCTGAAAACATCGTTTAATTTCAAAATAATTTTGCATAAGATGCTTTTCAATCCTAAAGACGACTGTTGATCACAGCCAAATCGATTTTTTCAACAAAAATATTTTGTTTGTTTTTTTCATTTTTTAAATCCAATATGGAACCTTAAGATCTTTTTTTATTTCAAAATGCTTTCGCACCGTTTGTTTTCATTACCTGACACAACTTTTAAACGATAGCCACAATCATTTTTCTTTTATTTTATTTTTTTGGCCTTTTTCGTTCCACCCTAATAACCACACATCAAACGTTTTTAGTCTTCGCATTATCTTAACCATTTGCAATAAAGGACGGTAGTATTCTTAGGAAAGTCTCTGGCGTTACATTCTGCTTTTTACCTTTTGAACTGGATCTATTATATTATATATTTAAATATTTCTACATTCAC